CTAGTTGAGATGGTATAACCCAAGAGGTGCTTGCTGCTGTTACCAGCCATGTCTTGTGTCTTGTTATTAAACAAACACATGACGGAAGTCCGACAGTGCACGAAAGCAAGGTATTCTCGCCATACGTAATCAACTCTTCTCATGCGTAGCGAGGCTACTCCCCCCTCGCAAACGAGCATTTGCTCCGGAGCAAATTGTAGCGTTCACACGTACCATTTTACATCGGTGCTGCCCCGCAAACCAGCATTTGCTCTGGAGCAAATTTTTAAATCACCTCCCTGAGGTGGATCAAATTTGCGGGGCTACGTCGGAGCAAATTTGCACGTGTGAACGCTCTATTGGCGCAGCGCCGGTGTAGCACTGGAGCAAATCTTGCCGTGTGAACACCCTTCATGTGTCATTTCGATCGTTATTTTAAGGTCACCTACGTATTTTGTCCTAGTGCAGTTGTTGTACTTAGTGACCTTGTGCGCATGAGACTTCTGCGCAAATAGTGGAGGCGCAGCTGTCATCGACCAGAAACCTGGGCCCGTTTGAATATTTTAAGCATCAAAACTGCCAAAACAACTACCGGTACTGCCATGTTTGATGACTCCGATCCAACACAGTGTCGCAAGTGACAGAGTGTAGTGTGGGTATTGGGATTGGGCCAATGAATTGCAGAATCTCGCAGCTGATGTCAGAAGGGCAATCTTAAAAAGCAGCCAGGTGTCTTGGGTCTTCTGATCTCAGTGGAAGGTTTTTGTGTTTTGTCTGCGTAGTATTGACAGGAGACTTTGTGGAATATTATTTGGCCAATTCCAGCATGTTCAGGGGTGAGGGAGGTGCTCTATATGCTGAGTTTATTCAAGATGCTCCCTGGCTCATAAATGGTTATTTACAACTCAAAAATTAAAAATCCATATCAAGAAATGCAAGCAAGACTACAACATCCATCGACAAGGTCAAAGAGACAAAACTAGAAACTTCGAAGCGAGCACCCACCTTTTATCTTTAACACCACTGAGCTGAACCTCATCTGGTGGTGGAGGCGGCTTGGCTGGGGGTCCAAAAGATTTCATGGAGTCGGGATCCACTTCTCCTGATTTTTTTGTATTCTCCATTCTCACCTTTGACACATCACTCAAGTCAGCATTCTGCTCCCGTTCGACCTCAGTTAGGACACTTCCATGAGGTCCGGCGTCTGGATTTGCAGCCTCACTGATCTAGTTGAGATGGTATAACCCAAGAGGTGCTTGCTGCTGTTACCAGCCATGTCTTGTGTCTTGTTATTAAACAAACACATGACGGAAGTCCGACAGTGCACGAAAGCAAGGTATTCTCGCCATACGTAATCAACTCTTCTCATGCGTAGCGAGGCTACTCCCCCCTCGCAAACGAGCATTTGCTCCGGAGCAAATTGTAGCGTTCACACGTACCATTTTACATCGGTGCTGCCCCGCAAACCAGCATTTGCTCTGGAGCAAATTTTTAAATCACCTCCCTGAGGTGGATCAAATTTGCGGGGCTACGTCGGAGCAAATTTGCACGTGTGAACGCTCTATTGGCGCAGCGCCGGTGTAGCACTGGAGCAAATCTTGCCGTGTGAACACCCTTCATGTGTCATTTCGATCGTTATTTTAAGGTCACCTACGTATTTTGTCCTAGTGCAGTTGTTGTACTTAGTGACCTTGTGCGCATGAGACTTCTGCGCAAATAGTGGAGGCGCAGCTGTCATCGACCAGAAACCTGGGCCCGTTTGAATATTTTAAGCATCAAAACTGCCAAAACAACTACCGGTACTGCCATGTTTGATGACTCCGATCCAACACAGTGTCGCAAGTGACAGAGTGTAGTGTGGGTATTGGGATTGGGCCAATGAATTGCAGAATCTCGCAGCTGATGTCAGAAGGGCAATCTTAAAAAGTAGCCAGGTGTCTTGGGTCTTCTGATCTCAGTGGAAGGTTTTTGTGTTTTGTCTGCGTAGTATTGACAGGAGACTTTGTGGAATATTATTTGGCCAATTCCAGCATGTTCAGGGGTGAGGGAGGTGCTCTATATGCTGAGTTTATTCAAGATGCTCCCTGGCTCATAAATGGTTATTTACAACTCAAAAATTAAAAATCCATATCAAGAAATGCAAGCAAGACTACAACATCCATCGACAAGGTCAAAGAGACAAAACTAGAAACTTCGAAGCGAGCACCCACCTTTTATCTTTAACACCACTGAGCTGAACCTCATCTGGTGGTGGAGGCGGCTTGGCTGGGGGTCCAAAAGATTTCATGGAGTCGGGATCCACTTCTCCTGATTTTTTTGTATTCTCCATTCTCACCTTTGACACATCACTCAAGTCAGCATTCTGCTCCCGTTCGACCTCAGTTAGGACACTTCCATGAGGTCCGGCGTCTGGATTTGCAGCCTCACTGATGTCATCTCGTGCCTGCCCTTGCTTCGTTGGAGATCCTGATGTCGTTTCCAATGCTTCAGTGTGGCGCTGTTCTTTTAAAATAGATGAAGGCTCCTGTACTTCAGCTCCATCCGAAATCTGGTCCTCATGACCGCGGTAATGGTCATTCTTTGTCTCACAAACAGCCTCCTTTATTGGTTTGCTGATTGCACTCTCTTGATTCACAAGGAATGTGTTACATATTTTCTTCTCTGCTTGTTTGGAATCACCTCGGTCTGTTTCCACTTCTTGATCTGCCAACTCTTCCTTTTTAATTGTTTTCTGGGAGTCTTTGTCATTGAGGAGATGTAAAGTTACATTCTGGAAATACATGAATGAGCCATAAAAATTCACAGAAACAAATCAAAGAGTGCAAACTAAGATTTACAGCTGCAAATGGCTAAAGGTTCCTACTCTTTCCTTTAAATTATTTTCCAGGTCTTCCTGGGACTTTTTCATCTGCTACCCCTTGGCTTTGGAGAAGTCTTATTTTTTTACAGCTGGACTGTATAATTGGTTACATTTAACTATATAGCTTTAATGTTACCAAATACCATGCCAAATTGGCATAAATAAATAAATAAGAAAAGAAAAAAGAAAAAAAGAGCAGCTCTCTCAAAGTTGCGAATTGATTACCATGATTCACCCAAAAAGAGCCGCTCAAAAGAACGACTCATTCGCGACCGTACCAGCATGAATAGCTCTCTCTTGGATAAGATAACCTTTATTTGTCCCACACTGGGGATATTGACATCTAAAATACTTTGATTGACTAATGAGCTGCTGATGGGCTGGAGAGAGGACAAACCCCATGCTAGCACCCATGACACCTTGACAGCCAGGTTGACAAGCCCAAGGGCATGACACAAGCTAAAAAGGGCTGTGCTCTCCGCGCACAAACACCGCATTTTAATAGAGCTGAATTCCTAAAGTTTTTCTCATTCACATATTTTTGGTTTCTACCATCGAACAATTGAACAAGTATGAAACACTGGTTGAAAAGTGCCCAAGTACGACCACCTGTTTCCCGTGGCTATCGGGAAGCCGTCGTCATGGTCGCTGTGGCTCTACGAAAACCAGAGATGTATTTCAGATTAGAATGCAGAGCCGACGGCACGCCCACTACAGCCCTCTGTCACTCAACAAAGGAGATAGAGTGAGGGAGAAAAACCTCAAACTCAATATACAGCGTTACAGCAACACTGTGTAGCTGAAAGTCGCTCGTTTTGACACTTCGTTGAAAAAATTTAATCCTTACTTGGGTCTGAAAAGTTGGTAAGGTAATTTAAATAAAAAAAAAATAATAATAATAAAATAAATAAAATTTGCGTCTGTGTAGTGGTGTTGTGACACGTGCTTTTCAGTTAAATTTCATTGTATTTTGACCACAGGTTGTGACCCGGGGCTGCATTGTGTTCTCAATGATTCCTTCCTCCATCCTATTTATTTAAGCGACGTTATTTTATCAAAATGACAAAAGATACTTTGAAGAGAATTGGGGAAGGAGAAGTTACATACAGGATATAATTCAAGACCCAACATTCAAGACCTTTTCAGGTGCTATTTCAGATTTCTTAAATTCCATGATTTTAAGACTTTTTAAGATCTGCCGGAACCCTGTTTTACACATTGAATTACACAACCAGTACATGATAAAAGTTCCATGTCACTATGACTAATTTGACTTTTTTTTGTGTGCAGAATATTTATCATGCGTTTGAAAGTCATCTGTAAATCTGGAAGATAGCGACCTCACACATTTGCACACTGTACGTTTTACATCGTCCTGCAGCTCTCCTTAAAAAAAAAAAAGTTCGTCTTTCAATGAAACGCATTTGTTTATTTCATGTAAGCATACAAAATATTTCCCCAAAATATTTGCGTTCCACTTACCTTAATGGTATTTACAAGCACACCAAGCACAGTCTGGCCACTGTAAGATTCATTGAGGTCAAACTCCCCTCGTAGAGAATGAAACACACCATTCATCACACGCTTCACCTAAAGGATCACAAGAGGTCTTGCATTTTCAGTCAGATAATGTCAAAAGAAAACAAGGCTGTTAACTATGAACAAAGACAAAAAAAAAAGAAAAAGTCGACCCTTGAAGAATGATTGAAATGCAACACTCATGGGTAGTTCGTAAATAAATAAAATAAATCTTGCTTCGTCAATAGATAAATTAAAATAAACTTAAATATGAAGCAACTTATGTACGGATGTATTTTTCTTTCTCATGACAATAAACAGTCTTCTATCCAAGATGCTTTTGACATCTGGGGACTAAAGGTTATCTGCTCTCTCCCAGCTGCACTTCTAATCAGTAATTGTTTTATAGGAACGTCACAGTTCAATATTTAAGATGTATTGTATAACAAAAAAAAAAGAGGAAAAAAACAAGTTGAAAAGCGAAACAAGGTGTTCTTAAAGTCAATGCGCTCTTCTATTTTTACTAATAAACATGTTTCAATATAGAGTGAAACATGTTTGTTAATAAGATTATAAATCCAAAGTAACAATCTGGGCATTCTGTATCAGCGCAGTTGAACCTCTAAGGTTGAACACAATCAGTTCTTACGTCCAATTCTTTTGAATTTTTTTTCTCCATGATAAATAATGGACATAGAAATAATTTCACGGTTAAAAATCACCATAAAAATTCTATACTGAACAGACAAATAAACAAGAAACCACACTGCACATGGCGATTAATCAGGGTAATAGAATGGTTAAAAACAAACAAACAAACAAAAAAAAGATGTGCCAGGGCACTAAATCTGTACAGGTTGGGAAATCAATCAATACCATTGTACCTCGAGTGAGTTATTAATGCGAGTGGCACCCAGAGTCATGCATATCACAAATAACCAGAATTGTGCAAATATAATTCCTCAAGTCAAAGCCCAAGTCTAAACTCGGGTACATTCAAACATGGGCAACATTATTGGTACCCTGTTGTTACGGAAAACTCCACAATGGTTACTGGAATATCACGAGACTGGCAAGAAAATTTTTTGGATATTAACTAGTGATTCCCGGCAGGTGGCTGACAACCAAGGTGTACCCTGATTGCTGCCCGATGACAGCTGGGGTAGGCTCCAGCATGCCCCGCGATCCTTTTGAGGAGAAGTCTAGTCTGTATTTTTCAGCTACTTCCACAGATGTTCAATAGGATTTAGATCAGGGTTAATAGAAGGCCAGCGCTTTTAACTGTTTTACGTAAATTCCTGTTTGGAAGCGTAGTTGATGTGTGCCTTGATAGTATTGAAATTAATTATACCCTGCACAGACTCAAGACACCCCGTGCTGGATGCAGCAAAGCAGAGAAAGCCTAACTGAGGGTCCACGAAATTTCACAGTAGATATATACAGTGTTCATCATTTTTGCATCTGCAAAGAGAGCTGATGCGACATGCCAAAGAGCCCCAGTTACCTCTCCACAATTGACAGGGCTTTCTCCCAGAAGCTTTTTCCCTTGACATTAAACATTTAAGCATGGGGCTTTTTTTGTCAAATCTAGCACAGTGTGTCTTGAACTTGTCCTGGGTGTGAAGGAATCTCAAGACCATCAAGGCAAAATGTGCTGCTTAGTGTCACAAAAGGGGTGTTCACACGGCAACATTTGCTCCAGTGCTGCGCCGGTGCTGCCCCAGTAGAGCGTTCACACGTGCAAAGTTACACCGGTGTAGCCCCTGAAAACAGCTTAAACCGGAGCAAATTTAACCCTGCTCAGGGAGGTGGTTTAAAAATTTCCTCCGGAGCAAATGCTCGTTTGCGGGGCAGCACCGATGTAAAATGGTACGTGTGAACGCTACAGTGTTAAAAATTTGCTCGGGAGCAAATGCTCGTTTGCTGGGGGAGTAGCCTCGCTACGCATGAGAAGAGTTGATTACATACGGCTAGAATGCGTTGCTTTCGTGCTCTGTTGTATTTCCGTCATCTTTCCTTTTGTAGGAGACTGGACTGACTCTGAGTTGTTTGTGTAGTTTGTTCCTTTGTTGTGTGTTCACAAACCCCCCCATTGAATTTATTTTGTGATTTCCTCTCTTGATTTTTTGTTTGGCGCATTATGTTTGCTTTTCTGAGCGTCATTGTAGTCATCGTTGATTTACGTTTTCGGGGGCGGTCATTGAACGCCTCTCGAGCAGAAGGCACGGAGACGGAGAAGGAGAAGGACGTGCCTGTAGTTGCTTGAGTTAAACAAATTATTAAAGTGCGTATGTTTTAAAAAGAACCAACACGACAGCTCTTTGTTTTATTTCCGTATTAATACTATCATATTGCACGGCCGCCGAAGCTGTCGTGTGAACGCAAGTGGGGCTGCAACGGGGTTAACACACTTCTCTTTGGTCAGCAACTTTTTACGTGTGAACGCTCCACAAAATTTACACCGGTGTAAGATATATCGCAACAAAATACGTCGGTGCAGCACGGTTGCAAATGTGTGCCGTGTGAACACCCCTTATAAAATAATAACTTCATATTGGAAAACCAGGTCTCGAAATAAACCGTTAAAAATGTACATTTTGCGCTTCGTTAAAACAAATTGAATGGCAAAACTGAAAATAACAGATCATCACAATTTTTTTTTTCTTCCGATAATTGAATCGCTGAGACAATCCAAAAGAGCTTTGCTGGGCTGGATGCACTCAATGTCACAGCACACGTCCCAAGCTAGTTAGCAAAGAGCGTTAGCTGGCTAGCTTGTGCAGCTAAAAACGTTGCAATGTCGCTCTCAGTTTAACTCAGGAATCACTCCGGAGCAAATGCTCGTTTGCGGGGCAGCACCGATGTAAAATGGTACGTGTGAACGCTACAGTGTTAAAAATTTGCTCGGGAGCAAATGCTCGTTTGCTGGGGGAGTAGCCTCGCTACGCATGAGAAGAGTTGATTACATACGGCTAGAATGCGTTGCTTTCGTGCTCTGTTGTATTTCCGTCATCTTTCCTTTTGTAGGAGACTGGACTGTCTCAGAGTTGTAGTTGGTGCCTCTGTTGTGTGTTCACAACCCCCTCATAGAATTTATTTTGTGATTTCATCTCTTGATTTTCTGTTTGGCGCATTATATGTTTGCTTTTCTGTGTCATTGAAGTCATCGTTGATTTCCGTTTTTGGTTGCGGTCACTGAACACCTCTCGAGCAGAAGGCACGGAGACCGAGAAGGAGAAGGACGTGCCTCTACAGTAGTTGCTTGAGTTGTGTATATTTTAAAAAGAACCAACACGACAGCTCTTTGTTTTCTATCGTTTTGCACCGCTGCAGAAACTGCCATGTGAACCGCTGCAGAAACTGCCATGTGAACGCAAGTAGGGCTGCATCGGGGTTAACACGCTCAGCGGCTTTGTACGTGTGAACGCTCCACAAAATTTGCTCCGGTGTAAGATATATCGCAACAAAATACATCGGTGCAGCACCGGAGCAAATGTGTGCCGTGTGAACATTTCTAAAGATTAATTTCAGCTGCTGGTTCAAATTCTAATTTACAAAGTACAACCTCCTGGGCATTCAATTTTTGAGGTTCCACCGCATGCCACAGTATGCATATAGTTTAAAAAAATGAAAGACTATTTACCTCTGCTGCTGTATCTGCTGAACTTTCTTGTTCGGTCAGTTTCATCTCAAGTTCAGCCACTCTTCTCTCTAGTAACTCCTTAACAGTGGCACTGTGTGACCCCTGGTATTTGTAGTTAATATAGAAAAACAAAATGCACGAGTAAAGGACTGAAAGGAAGAGGGAGTTAAATTAAATTTCAAATGATTCTGGTGCCAGAATTTACAAAGAGAAAATGACCTGAGACTCTTACTCTTCAGTTATGGGCATGTTTGTTGATATCTCAAAAATACTACTTCGACTAACTATGAATAGAATAGAAATACAGCATGTTGCTCTTTTAACAAAAGAATAACTGTGAAAATGAGAAAATGCAGGCCTTTATGAAGTTGCACTCAACTTGCCTGTTCCTGTTGCACTTTCAACTCCAGCAGATAATCTCTCTCCTCTTTAAGATCGGTCATCTCTTTGGCATATTTTTCTTTAGCTAAGGCTAAATCCTGCTCGTACTTCATCTTCCACCTTTCGTCGAGCTCTGCTTTCAGCTCAGATGCCTGAAAATCAAAATTAAATTCAATCAAACCTAAAAGTTAAATTAGACTTTAAAGTTACTTAAAATAAGAATTCAGGATTAGAATACAATGTGTTCTAATATTGTTTGCTTTTTGTCTCAATATGCATCTTTTGATGATATATCTGTCCAATAGTATTTGGACAAGAGATTTGAAAAAACAACAAGATGACTTGTGTGTAGACTTTCAGAATTAATTGAAGAACATTTTGAGGATTAACAGGTAATATTGCGTGCTGAGGCTGTCAGAAAAATGTTAACTGTCTCAAACAAGCTCTGCCACCATGTCAGCTGTGGCACACACACCTTGTAACCAGTGGTGTAATGAAAATTGATTTGAATTGGAAAATTGTTTTTGCTCTAGAAGATGTGATCCCATCAGTCACAATGTAGCTTGAATGGGCGATGGCCCAATCAAAAAGTTGAAAAAAAAATCTTTTTGATAAGGCTGATGATTTTTTGTTTCTTTCGAATTAAATTAACTTAACTAGTTTGGGCTTTGGAGCACTGAAGAAAATTACAGTTCTGACAATTCAGATTGCAAAAAAAAAAAAAAAGAAAAAGAAAAGAAGGCTACTTTCAACAAGAAACTCACTACATCATACCTTCTCAAACTGAGCTGTATCATTTGACATTTTATCCATCCATCTTCAGTTTGTACTATTTAAAAAAGATGTTTTATTTAAGGCTATCCTCTTCTTGTCAAGCCATTTTGAAAATGATGTCATTGTTGGATGACTGTCAGAGGGGGAAGGATTGTCATTGCTATTCGCAAAATATTGTGAAAATATTGTCGAACAAGTTACGCTATCATTCCCATCAGGTTTATATAAAGGCAATATCAGTACTACCAACAGCACAGCACTGAGCTACTCAGCAACAAAAGATATGTTAGGATGGGCACTCACTTGTTTTTTACCATCTTGATTTGCCTTCAGGTCATTAAGTTCCTCCTCCATATTTTTGAGCTTTAGCGCCATCTCCTTGCACCTTCCTATCTCTGCGCTGTACTGAGCCTGGGTTCTTTCTGATACTTCCTTCAACTCTGACACAAACACATAACGGCAATATTCAGTGATTATGTCATTTATTCGTTACACTCTTTACAATAGACCAGGGTTTCCCAACCTTTGTTAGCCAAGGCACATAGTTCACATTGGGAAAAAAAAATCTATCGGCACACCAATGAGCAAAACGATTCCCAAAAAAAAGGCTACACAGTTTAATGATGTAGCTTCTGCTGTCCAGTGGAAGAGCATTTGATTGTTCTTCTTTTTACAATGGGTGGTTGGCATAGATAAATTAACAACAAAATTGTGAAATAAATAAATTTTCATCCAAATACCTGATAACTGATTTTGGATAATTTCCCACAGCACACCTGATGTTATCTCAAGGCACAATAATGTGCCACAGCACACTGGTTGAAAATCACTGCAATAGACCATTTTCCGTTCTACGTCATCAAAGACTGCACACACGTTATTGATTCAAAACAACGTGACACATCCCCCGTATGACTGCAAATATTTAGTATTTTTATTTATTATTTATTTATTTGTTTATTTTTAAGCATGGAGTTGGGATAGTTTTTAAATAGTTTCAATCTCAACATGCCTAGCTGATATAGTTTATTCATTTTTCCACAGTACGGTTTAGACGTTTGAATTCTTATCAGGTTTTTATTTTCCACAGACTGGTATATAATTGTGATGACAATTGCTGCATCAGCAATTCAAATAATGTCACAACCGAACAGTGAGATACAGTGTAACATTACAACACTGTACAGAGAATAACCAAATTTAAGCAGCTTTTTCTTTCTATAAGTATGAACACAAACCTTCCAGCTGTGATTCCAGATCACTGATGTGTTTAGTGTGGCTTTTACAGTCAAGCAGACTTGTGGTCAGCTTAGTCTGTAGCTCCAAAACCTTCTGCTGATGACTCAAAGCTTCTAGTTGCACTTGAGAAAGCTGAGCTGCAGTTGATGCCAGTTCTTCCCTCAGCTGAATCTGGTGGGGAATCAGGAAGATACAGGGACAGTATGTGGGGTAGGCAGCTCTACGCAAAGTGAAACTGCATGTCACAAGAACCAGAGTGAACCACTTGTAAAAGCACAAATGATGTGGGAATTAAAAGCACAGAAAGGCAATGTTAGGAAACAGTTGATAGAACGACACATTGGAGGCAAGAGAGAAAAATTACCGTATTTTCCGCACTATAAGGCCTACCTAAAAGCATTACATTTTCTCAAAAGCTGACAGTGTGCCTTATAATCCAATGTGCCTTATATACGAATCCATATTCTGATTTGTTAGACGTATGATTTTAAATGGTCTGTAAAGCACTTTGTTACAGTGCGGTTGTGAAAGCGCTCTATAAATAAAGCTGTATTGTAGTCCTTTAGCATACCTCCATCTAGTGGATGCATAACGTAACCTCAGCCACTATTGTAGCTTGTATTCTCGCTTTATAACCCAGTGCGCCCTATATATAAAAACAGTTTTAAAATAGGCCATTCATGGAAGGTGCACCTTATACTCCAAAGCGCCTTATAGTGTGAAAAATACAGTAATTGGCAAAGCACAATTCATTCCCCAATCCCTAAAAACATGTTAAAAAACGAAAAAAGAAAAACTTCTGCACCAGGGATTGACAACTAATTTTTCCAAGGGACCATGTGAGAAAATGGAATAGCTGTCGACGGCCACGCCAAAATGCCAAATTCAAGTCAAAACCAAAAGCAAGTATGGCTTGGCTTTTGTGAACTTGAGAATCCGGGGCTGCGGAAGTTTACTTTTATTGCATGATAATGTTTCAGACAGTGAAGTTCTGCCATTTTTTGCGGGGAAGGAGGACTGACATTGAAACTCAGTCTGGAGGAGGCAGTTACGATCAAAATTAGTTGAATTGTAAGCACTTGGAACAACCGTCACACGTGTAAAAGTAGATGCAGTTTAAAAAGATGTTTAAATACAAAGCAAGACTTGTAAGATATGGCTGAGCAGCATGAAGCAAGTCACTGCGTTAGATAAAGCAACTTACCGGTAATTCATATTGAACACAAGTGAGGTTCACATTGTGTGCCCCTTGACAACTGTCCAGTTTCTCACACGGTCCCCGAGTAAAATTAATTGCCCACCCCTGCTCTATGGTAAAATGCAGTCAAACGCTTTCAAGATTAAAAGCATCAGTAACTAAATAAAATTGCCTAAACAATGGACCGAGAGCAGAGATGCAAGTCACAAGGTTGACAAGAACCAGACTAACTGTAAATACTTGAATAAATTTGCTCTTTGAACATGTTTATTGCACCTTCAAAGATACCATCTTGAAATTAATTTATGTGGGGAACAGAATAAAACACAGGCTCAATCTACTCTGACAAAGTTTTTACTATACTGTAAACATTATTGCAAAGTTTTACTATTCTATAAACATTCTTGTGATGACGAAATTAATGACAGTTCTATAGTCATACATGGCAATGGCGAGTGATGAAAAAAGCGAGAGATGCAAGTCACAAGGTTGACAAGAACCAGACTAACTGTAAATACTTGAATAAATTTGCTCTTTGAACATGTTTATTGCACCTTCAAAGATACCATCTTGAAATTAATTTATGTGGGGAACAGAATAAAACACAGGCTCAATCTACTCTGACAAAGTTTTTACTATACTGTAAACATTATTGCAAAGTTTTACTATTCTATAAACATTCTTGTGATGACGAAATTAATGACAGTTCTATAGTAGATGACCAAAATTTGTGTGAAACTACTTCAGGGTTGGTCTTGAATGATTGTATTCTTTGAAAGAGATAATTTCGAGCAGATCAGTTTATTGAATTATAGTACCCTTGAATGTGAGTGGTTGTTCACAAGAAAAAAAAATGCTTAACACCTTTTCTTTCGTTCCCTGAACATTGTCACAAAGGCATAAACACAGGAGCTGATTTTCAAGAGAAGAGGTAACTGTAGTGGCTCACCTCCACTAAGTTTATGTCCACTGACTGTTCAGGCAAGAAGGAAGAGGAGAGCAAGTAATTTTATTCAGATTATTCCAAAGCAGACCATTTGGTTTAATTAATACTTGATTAATTAATTAATACTGATCATTTATGCACTTGTTTATGCAGAGTTTGAAGGGCAACACGTAAATTGTGCAACTTGCTTGGTAACTACAAAGCTCCACGAACAAGGATGGTTTATGGTAAAGGAGTTACAAATAATACTGGGAGCAGATGATTCATCATAATTATTCAGTACTTATCCTGTGAAATAAAAGGATGCTAGGCATCCCTAAATTTATGAAGGATGTAGTATATATTTTATTCCTATTTTATATAAAAAAAAAAATTCTATGGGGGGATGAAAGAGAGCCGCCCCGACCCACAAACGTGTTCATACCTACACCCTTGTCCCCAACTCCAAACAAAACTGAGGAGACATTGATGTCTAAATTTCTTTATGTATGTATTTATTTATTTTATTTTACATTACCGTAATTTCCGGACTACAAAACAGACCTGATTAAAAACCACAACAGTTAGATTTGGCCATAAAAACAAATTTCTACATTCAGTAGCCAATTTGTCAAGGCGGCATGATTGAATGATTTGAAAATTACCCATATACCAGTTAGTTATTTCACCACTCAGTTACTCTGCATCCATTAACACCATGTTGTTAATTATTGAATTAATATAGTAATGAATGGACTGTGTGTTTGGCCTGCATTTTTTAAACAACAATTGCATATTTTACCTACTATTGTCATGGAAAGGGAAATGTTTGTTTTAACATGAAAGACATTCTATTATTTTCCTTGACCCCCAAAACGTACATGCTGACACCAAATTTGACATTATTGCTACAACAGAAGCAAAGATAAGGGCCTCTCAAGCAAGGTTGGGGGCCATTTTTTCTCCCAAAATGTGAGTAATTTAGGTATAAAATGTGATCTCACAAATGTATCTCAATGGCCGTTAGGTACTTCTATGCCAAATTGGACTTTTGCATCCTACCTTGAAGTCATAAGTTTAAAAAAAAATGGTGCATGTCTAAGCTATAACCAATGTAAACAAAGCTATATTTTGGGTCCATTCCAATTTGGCAGTGATTAGCCACACTGACCTTGTCTTGTTCAGCCTGCAGTAGTTTTGCCTGACTCCGCTCACTTGAAGACTGGAGAGAGTCATTTCTTTTTTCCAAAAGTGTGTTATTCTGTTCCATATACCTACACAAGATATATAACTAGGCATGATATCTGGTCTATGGACAGGAACAGTTGAGACAATTAAAAAAATATTCAGGCTCACCTTTGGCTTTGGTTGAATAGTTCACTTATCTTGTGGTTTTGCTCTTCAATACGAGAGCCTTTCTCGAATATGTCCTTCTTTAAACATTCATTTTCCTACAAATAAGGAAAGGAGATTATGCAGTGGAGATAAAAAAATTACAGACCACTGTTCAAATGCTATATAGATCCATCCATCCATCCATCCATCCATCCACTCTCTCCTGCTGGGGGCAAGAGCTTAAGCAAGAAAGCCAAGACAACAAGGTGTTATGAGGCCAGCCAAGAGACATGGTATCTCCAGCATGTTTGGGCCGTTCCTGTGGCCACCTGCCGGTGGGACATGCCCGGAACACCTCACCAGGGAGACATCCAGGAGGCATCCTAACCAGATGCCCGAGCCACCATCTTGCTCCTCTTAACGTGGAGGAGAAGTGGCTTTATTCTGAGTCCCTCCCAGATGACCAAGCTTCTCACCTTATCTCTAAGGGAGAGTCTGGACACCCTGTGGAGGAAACTCATTTTGGCCGCTTGCATCCAGGATTTAGTTCTTTCGATAACAATCCACAGCTTGTGATCACAGGTGAGGTTAGGAACGTAGATCAACCGGTAACTCGAGAGCTTCGTCGTTTGGCTTAGCTCCTTCTTCACCACGATAGACCGATACAATGTCTGCATCACAGCAGATGCTGCACCGACCCACCTGTCAATCTCCTGCTCCATCCTGTCCTCCCTTGTAAACAAGACCCAAAGAAACTTACACCCCTCCACTTGGGGCAAGATCTCATCCCGAACCAGAGAGGGCACTCCACCCTTCTCTGACTGAGGACCATTGTTTCAGATTTGGAAGTGCTGATTTTCATACAAACTGTCACATTTGGCTGCGAACCACTCCACTGAGAGTTGGTGATCATAGCTTGAAGAAGCCAACAGCATCACATCATCTGCAAAAAGCAGAGATGCAATACTAAGGCCACCAATCCAGACCCCCTCAATGCCTCGCCTGCGCCTAGAAATTCTGTCCATAAAGGTTATGAACAGAATCTGTGAAAAAGGCGGAGGCCAATCCCCACTGGAAACGAATCCAACTTACTGCCTGTGATGCGCACCAAACTCTGACATCACTGATATAGGAGCCAGAATTGAACCCTGCACCTCTGCACTATGAGGCCGGCGTGCTAACCAGTCGAACACCGCGCCGCCCGGATTCCAAAATCCTTAAATTGAATGGCAAAGAGAGAAGACATATTTCCTTTTTTTTTTTTTTTAATAAATAAACGAATTTTTTTAGAGTTAAATTGGAATGGCATTTTCGTATTTTTTGTTAAACGATATTTGCTTTTCAACTATGCATTTATTTTCTTGTTATTGTTGTTATTATTTATTCATATTCAAAGTCCATTTGAAAAAGAGAAGACCTTTTTTTCAATTATTTATTATATTTAAATTAAGAGTAAATTTGATTTTGATGAACATTTCATGAAAACCCTGGAAGGCAATTTTATTTTGAATGTATTCAACCAACGTATTTCCAGGCTGTCCGTGGTGGAGCAGCTGAGAATGGTGGTTGCAGCCAGGCTCCCTTGAGGTACAGAGACTACAACAGAGGACAGGCCATTCTTGCCACCTGAAGTCCTTGAACATATTAAAAGAGACACTGAATATCGACATGGCTATGCGTGACATGTTCAACAGTATGTCTAAACTGCGGGACATGATGTCCAATTCAGATTTTTTGTTGAAGCGGATCTTCTCATGTTCTCGTTCACTTTACAAAAACAAATGTAAGATCAGCAATCAGAAATGGGATGCAACTCGCGACAGGGCATACAAACCAATCAGCTCCGAGCTGCTGCTCGTGAACTGGGTGGAAAAGGACATACTGATCCACGCTTATTACCAGTCTCTCAGAATTTTGAACTCTGTCCCCTAACCACCCACAGCTCCATCTACCAGGCTGAAAAGGAGCGAGGGTTATAACTGGCCTTCACGGGGAAACTGTCATTCAGATGTGGCCTGCGCTGAAAATTATTTTGACGACTCCGATCAAGAGCACTAGACATTATTAACACAGCAATCATTCCAAAATGTCCATTCGCTAGGGTGACATAGTCACTTGAGATGGTGGTAAAATTACATTGGCATATACCTGGATGATTCTTTGGACGTTTTGCATGATCATGGAGGACTCCATCGATATACCAGACAGGCCCAAGGAGACAGTTCCCTGCCTTTGAAGGTCATCTATCTAATAAATAAAATAATGTAAGTAGAAAGTAGGGTCAGTTTGTGTTAAAGCTATACTCGGCATATCCTTGGATTTTGTACCTTTGATGCAAGTTGATCGACCTTATCTGCTACTTTTCCCACAGCTAACCGGATCTCTGTGTTTTGCTGTCGCGTCTCGATCATCAAGAAGGAAGTCACATCATTCGAGCCTGGAGAACACAGTTTTGTCACTTAAAACATACAAATATGGGAAACATTAAAGTCTGTTTCTGACATTTTAGTCTTTCCCGTGGTTTCTTATCTTACCAATGCAAGGGATACGTGTAGGATAAACTTGGCTCACAGACTGGAGCTGATTCATAGGAACAGAAGTCTGTGGGTATGGGTAAAACTTTAATTTAACAGCAACAACAACATAATAACAAAAAAAATAATAACAATAATGATAATAATTAACAAGAGCAACTTTTACTTCCTCTCATGACCTTCAGTATTTCCAAAAATATGGACAAAGTAGGAGGAAAGCTCACCTGAAAAGTGTGAGGGTTACCAAGCAAACCAGGCTGTGCAGCAATATTGGTAAGGTTGGGAAGTACATTAGTAGGAAGAGCAGGGTAGGGATGTGGAAGTACTGAAGAGAAACAATAGAACAAAACCGAACACAAATTGGCAAAAATACATGTCACAGGAAAAATGGTTTAAAAAAA